GATGATGCCAAGTTTATTTCATATCCTGCGCATGAAGTTCAAATTCTTCCCACTGCAGGACTTGTTAAAGGAGAAAGCAAGATAATATTGGAGCCAAGCCCAGGGAACCAAGGTTCAAGGTGGATGCCAGGAAGCTCCTCCTGATGGTTAGGACCCTGAGGGTACGGAATGGGCTTCCACAAGAGGTGGCTGAAGCCCCATTGGGGAGGGTGTTCAAGGACAGGCTGGACATGCACATGGTAGGTATGTCATGAGTGGAGCCAGCTGGAGCCGGGGGTCAGACTAGATGACCTGGGAGGATCCTTCTGACTTTCTATGAGTCTATCTTATTGATTGATTGATTAGATGTTTATCCCTCCCCATTAGTTGTGATGCTCCATGAATAATACAGAATAACAATCTTTGCTTAAGTACATGGAGAATTACTGATTTTCTTACCTCCCTCTCCATTCTCTCCCTTTGGGCCTTTCTCAGCAGGGGCGCATATAACCAGTGTGCATGCATTTGGAACCCATCCTTGCAGAACATACTTTGCAGGTGAGCCGGTCGTTCTCTGCACCGAGACGCCCAAGGCCAACGGAGAAAGTATCAGCAGTATCAGCATGGCTATGATGGATGGCCTGGAAGGGGGTGGCACAGAGAGGCATGAAGAACATCATATGAGGTGAGCTGTCAAGTGGAACGTGGGTCCTTCAACTCATCCTGATGGTATGAAAAGCACCCACACTTAAATCCTACTCCAGTTAGCAAGTCCTGATTTTAAGGAAACAGGATAGGGACTGTATTTTCAGGATCGTGACAAAGGATCAGAAAAGAGCTGGTTCCATCACGGAAAGGTCAAAACTGGGAAGATCTGAAACCTTTCAGAAGAACAAGCAGGTGATCATAGATTACAGCCGGAGCCAAAACTGGTTTGCAGATGTTGCTACAGTTCCCACTGGTGGTGGCCAGAGTATCTCAGAAAGTCCATTCTGAGTGTGTCCGCTCAGACCAAGTGCTGCAGTTTTTGCAGAACAGTAATGCTGCCTCTTTTGCCAGACCTTGCATCAGCTGTTCGCTTCTGTCTTTACAAGGCAGGGTTTGGAGAAGGGAAATAAAGCACAAAGCATTGGGAATAAGAACTGCTGGCCTTCATTAGTGAGAGCAAAATTTTGAACCCTAAATTGTTCCAAATGATGCCTCTTGACTTTTGTGGATCAGGGTAATCTAAAGGCTGGAGAAAAGGTGGGAGGAGGGACTGGATATAGGCTTGCAGAAAAAGCTATGAAGAAGGGGAAGGTTAAGCTCAGCCTCTGCAAGGTCCTTGAGCACGTAATCTTCAGGATCCATGAATGGGTTGCGTTCTTTCCTATAGGAAAGAAGGTGGATAGTGATGAGCTTCTCAGCAAGATGGAAGTGATGGGGAAAGGCTGCCCCACTTCAGGGCCTGGTCTGCAGTCCTATTGAAGCTGACATGGGAAGAAGTCTCACAGAACGAAGTACGTCTTGCTTCTGAGTAAACATGCACAGGCTCATCTGCATTAGGGTGCTAAAAGAGCACCCAGAAACACCTCTTAGAGTCCCTTGTACAAAACGGAAGGCATTTTGGTGACTCAGACAAATGAACTATTGTTGCTTTTAAGCAAATGTGTTCCCAAATAAATAATCAATACATAGTCTTTGATCTCAAGATTTTGTTCAAGGTCCAAATGAAAAATCTAGCTACTTACTTGGTAAGTGAGGTTCCAAAGGTTCCAAAGAAGCCTTCACAAGAATAATGGAGTAGAAGTTCTGACTTCCATTTATAAACAATGGATTAGGTAGCAAGAGGTCATGTTTCTTTAATAAATCATTTTGACAATAGATATCCTGGATCATGATCCTCAAAGCACCTTCTCCAGAACAAGTTAACTGCCTTCCAGTAGGACTCCTCAAGACTGTGGCTGCTGGTTCCACCTCATATGCTGTTGATAAAACAAAACTAAGCACAAAGGGTGTATTGTCCAGTGACGTTAAACTACAAGCAGTGAGCAAACAAGCTTTTCCCTTCTGAGTGTAAGGAAACATTTAATAAGGTATTGTTCATTCATTGCCCAGTTTGAAGAACTGGGGGTACTCTGGATTTTCTGAAATATGGGTAGACTTGGAATTCGACACATGCAGTATTCACTATGACTATATGCACAAAGTTAATTTAACATAATGTGTGATTTCTTTTTTATGTTATGCAATGTGTCGCATGGCCTTAAATCACAAGATTCTTTGGAGGAAATTCAAGACAGCTCAACTGGTATAAAATCCAATAAAAATGTGGAACACACTAGGAATTCTGGGTAGAGTTCTGGTTCCTGTACCTCAGAAGAGGATACTATTGAAGTGGAAAAAGTTCAGAAAACGGCAACAAAAATGTGCAAAGGGCTGGAGCAACTTCCCTGTGTGGATAATCTACACGATCTGAGGCTGTTTAGCTTAGAGAAATGGGGGGTGATGGAGGCATGATAGGGGTATATCAAAGCATGCACGGTGTGGAGAAAGTGGATAGGGAGAAACACTGTTCCTTCTCTGGCTACTAGAACCTGAGATCTTCCCAAGGAGTTGAATTGTGGGATACCTGGGGCAGATTAAAGGAATATTTTGTCACACAACATGTAGTGAACCTATGGTATTCAGTATTATATAGCGACAGGCACCAACATGGGACGGCCATGGATGGGGAATGGATGGATCCATTGAGGGTGAAGCTTATCACGTGAGATGGAGAGAGTCCTGCTTGTGGGATTCCTGTTGGCATCTGACTGACCTCTGTGTGAACCAAGTGCTGGACCAGACAGAACTTTCTTTGCATTCAGTGTGGCTTATCTCGTGTTCTTTTTCTAGATATGCCTTCATGTTTGAATAGTCGCAAAGATGAAGAATTTACAGTGCTTTACAGACCGTTCTTTGGCAAAAGCTCTTCATCTCCAATGCACGTCCAGTAAACACAGCCAACAAAGAATGGGTCTCTGAGCATGCACAGAGAGGTTTGGTGAAGCCTCTGCTTCTCCCATCTCAGTGTCTGAGGCTACTGGTTTCCAGGACCCCTCTTCTTCTTCATCTGAAGTATTTCAATCTGCCTGACCTTGAAATGTGCACCAAGATTTTGCCCCTTTTATTCCCAACAATAACAAAGAAAGGTGGAATCAATGCTCAGCTTGATTGACCACAGTGCACGTTCCATTTTATCCCCCCAATAACCATGTGAAGAAACACGCTGCACAGGGCTGTTCTGGAATGTGTGACTTCTGCACGGCTGCAGCATATCTGAGTGGGCCTGGAGCCTTGCTTTGTTACTGTCAAAGATCTGAGTAGTAGCTGCTTACTGATGTTCTCAAAAGGAAGAGAGAGGGGGAGACCATCACCTTGAGTATTACTCAAAAGGGCCTTGATCCAGTCAATTAAATGCCACATGGATTGGGAGTTTTCCTAGGTAGAACAGAGTGGTTGGGAATGGACAGTTCAAGAATGGACAGCTGAGTCAGCCTACAATGGCCTGAGAAGGAGAAGGTCTGTTACTTGTGCATGGGAAGGTCAAGAGTAGGAGCAGATGACCATGCTATTCCAGGAACATGCCCTAAGGCTATGTCAGAAGAACATTATGCAAGCCAGCAGTAGCAACCCAGTTAATCTGTCAAAGCAGCCAGGGATACAACAGGTGGAACTCTGGGAGTCGGAGAAGATGATCAAAGAACCCAACCTGACTGTCAGTGCCTTCGACTGTGGTGGAACTTTGGAGAATTTGGCCAGAGAAATGTAAAAGATGTCACTAAAGACTGCAAAACTGCAATTGTGTGGTTAGCTCCACTGACCCTTGATTCTTAAGAACTGCCACTAAGCAGTCTTTTGACAACGCCAAAGTAAATAGGAGTAATCCATTGTGCACAAATACTCCTTTGATAAAACATTTTGTTTGTTATCTTGTCTCTTGGATGGGTGTCCATCTCACACCTATGCTGTTTTACCTTTACTAGAAGGTTTGTGAGTTTTCAAAAAGAACTGATGGTACCAGAAATGGGTTCAATTATGAAACTCTAAGTTACATTGGCAGAGAAGTCCTTAGGCCCAGAAATATAAGTATTTGCTGGAAATAAGAAACCCAAGGAAAGGAATTGCCTTGTGAAGGTATTGTTCCTCCATAGATAGTGACAATGCTCCGGCAGAGAAATCCCTCCACAACGGCTTTCATTTAAGCTTTCATAGCCAAGAAAGAATTTGATCCCATGGCTTCCTTTCTCACAATGACTAGGCTCACATAACATGACAAGCCAAGGTAGGTTTAAGAAAAAACACAATTGTTAGTTTGTTGTATTGTCTGAACCCAATCATGGTATTTCACCATGGGAGGTTTGGTCTTTAGAGACCACTATAATGGCTTGTTGTGTTGTCTGAACCCAAGAACATGGTTTCCATGGTGCTGGTATGCAACAACCACAGATTCCCTTGGAACGAGCAACTGTAAGGAGTCTGTCCAGCAATTGGCCTCTATGCGTGGATGAATGAGGAAGAGGCAGGTGACATAAGCAGGGAGTGGGACACCATGAGATCACATTTCAGGCACAGCAGATGATTGGATATGTGCCAACAGTGGGAGAATTGAATGGTGAGGATGGAAACCATAACAATGTAGGAACCACTTGATTGTCTGTCGGGTTAAAAAAAAAAGCATGGTAACCATGCCAGGTTGTTTGTCATATCATACTAATGCAGCCAATATTAACTAACTATGCCTCAACTGGCAGTACTATTACCAATCATCTTCTATTGCTTACTGACTCTTCCTTTCTTATCACCAGGAGTGAAAGACCACATGGCATTCAGTCCCGTGAATGGGCCGAATGTTCCTCTAGATCCAGCCCTTGAGAAAATGAGGAGACATCTAGAAATTTCATCTTGGTAATAACTGGGCTTCAGGTGTTTAATCTGTATGGGCTTCTTTTGCAGGACAGACACAATTCTATACAAAACAGAAAGTTTTGGCTATGTAGTGGTATATAAATATTTTTAAAAACTCTTCATTTCTTGAGATATAGAAAAATATGGAGGTGCAATTAGATCTATCTACAAACTTTATTGGACTTCAGAATAATCAAGCTAGATAGGCAAAAATTCACAGACTGTTATCAGGTCTTCTTCACAGACTCTTATAGATTATGAAGCACTCTCTCTCTGTCTCCCTTGAACTGGGTTCAGAGAACACACTACTGCATGCTGAAAAGTATGGGTCAGGCATGGTTTGTTGTTGAATCCTGGGTTATTGTGTTGTCTGAACCCAGTTTAGACAGCAAACCATGGTGAGCAACCCACAGTTCATTCCCCAGCAACAAATCAGAGGATCTCTTCATGGGTAATTTGTGGATTATGACCTCAGTTCAGGTAACCCACATTTCAGCCAGAACCCATGGACTGACAACATGCCCCACTCTGAACATGAGAGTAGTTCTTGCACTGTCCAAAGCTGGACTGTGCCTTGGTCCAACTTCAGCTTGTTTGTGCACCAGGAGCAGCCAGCATGGACTGTGGCAAATCTCACATCTCCAGTGACATGGAAAATGGCACTGAATCAAGTATCCAGATCCTGCAATAAGATAATCGGATTATCCCAAAGATCTATCCAGTAAAGGGTTGTTGGACTCCAACGGTCATGATCCTTTACTATTGCCTATGATGACTATGGCTGATGCAGTCCAGCATCATTAGATGGGTTTCCTTGAATCTCAGCATGGAAGGGATTCATCCCTATAAAGTCAAGTCATCTGTCAACATCCCTAGATGGTTCATGATTTGTTATGCGGCTAATCTGTGACTGCTACCTGAGTTCTAGAGAAATTCAGAAAGATAAATTAAAATTCACAAATTATTGCCCGAGATATAGTGCAAACATTGTCATTCCATTTGCCGTTCATATATAGCTCGATGCAATCCTCATGTGCCCCGTTGGGCTCATTCTTCGCCCAATTTGAATATTCCATCAGGTCACCATTTAGATGCTTAAAGATGCCTTCGGTCTCCTGGTCATTCATTCCAAGAAACACGTGCCTTCCATGCTTTGCAGCGAGGTTCAGGATGGCACTGTTTTCTTCCTCATTCCTTGGGGAAGCAATCTGGCCACCAAGCTGGGAACATACTGCTTTGGAAGTCTCAAAATCACCTTCAGCACCATTGGATACAAATATTTTTTCTCCTGCTCTTGTGCTGTTTGGGAAAATGTAGCCTAGAATGGCTGACAGATAAGACAACCAAGGTCAGCTCTTTCACATGGACTTTTATCATAACAGCCCATGTTGCTGGACCTGATCTAGACACCAGTGTCTGCAGCTTTATTGTACCATGTAATTATATTCATATATTTTATTATATGAGCACCATGTATTACCAGAATAAGGTATTCGTGGAAGCCCATGCAACTATCCCCAAAGGTGCAGCTGCTGCTTCCGATCTTACCTTTTTGGGTTTGTCTTGCACTCAACTGAAAAGCTTTCAGCTCTGCTTGCAAATCATTAATACGGCGGTCAAGAAGTTCAAGTTCTGAAAGGTAAATTAACAGTGTTGTTCTTGTTCTGCAGTGCTATATAGGAGAGGCTGAAACAACAGCGATATTTGTCAGCCATCCCAGTTGTGGTGATCTTAATTCCAGGAAGTGTTTGCATCTTCATAGCTAAACCAACAAAGAGTTGTAAAGACAAACAGATGCAACGTAGCAAAAATGTTGCGGTTTGATCCACTTCATCAGATGGCCAGACAACCTGAACTGTTTGCTTGCCTGACATAAACATGTGCCTGAAACAAGAAAAGGGAATCTGAATATCACTGAGTGCAGAGCAAGGTAAAGGCAGAGAGAAAAAGACAAAAGTGGTGTGTAACCAGCAAAAGCACGTTTAGCTTTTCTTTTCAGGCCGAAGCAAATATATCGAAATGTTGCCCTCTCATTCCGAAAGATTTTATCTGCCTTCTAGACATCATCTGCTCAGCTACAGTGTCCAGGCTTGAGGCCAGAATGAGAATTTCATCGTAATGCTGATATCTTCTTAATGAACTCGTATACTGCTTCACATTTCCTGCGGGATTACGCTGAGTTCCTTCAGAGCTGCAGTCCCTGCCAGACTCACATGTGTGGAAAACGGTGCCTCCCATGGAAGCTATAAGTGAAGTAATTGTGATTTGCACATATGCCTAGAATCGCCTCTAGGATGAGAGAAAATCCTGGCAGACTTAGGCTCAGCTGAACTCACATGAATGCACACTGCTTGTATGTTATTTCCACATAAGGCCGATATATAAGATCGTTTGTTTCCATCAGTAAAAACCCATCCCAGTTACTTAACCAGCACAAATGATTTATATATTTATTCCACTGATATCACCCTTTTTTCCTCCAAGAAACCCAAGGTGTGCAGACATAATTCTCCTGTTTCCCACTTAATTTTCACAATTAATTAGGCTGAGACTCAGCGACTCTCCAAAGTCACCCAGTGAGTTTAACAACCATATGGTAACTGGAATCCAGATCTCCCAAGTCCCAGACCAAGACCTGGTCCAAAATGTTTGCTGATCAATCTACACTTTAAAATAATGAGAGTTTGGAGGCCTAGGTCAAGCAAACTGATGTTGGATCAGGCAGAGATTTTTAAAAGATGTACAGTTTTCTTTTAGTACACCTGAATTCCAGTAAAAATGTATATCCCACCCTGAACGTTCTATGCTTGTTCTTCATATGGGAACAGCAAAGTTAGCCTTATATTCCTGTTAGTGTTCTGCCCGAAAACTAGACAAAATTCAGAAGCATCTTTCTTTGCTTTTGTTCTCCTTGGCATGTCTTACCTTTGCTGCCACTGTAACCTTTTTCCCCCCTTTCTCCCTTTTCCCCTTGATCTCCTTTAGAGCCAGAAGGTCCAGCTTTTCCTGGGGGACCCTGCATCCCCTGTAATCCTGTGAGTGAATGAACAGAGAGAGCAAGCAAGTGAATAATAGTTTGTGGACAGCGTCATGTTCTGGTTAATCTTATGAACAAAGCAACAGATGTTCTGAAAAAATACTGTGCAGAAAAGTGGAAATCTTGAGGTAACAGATCCCAGTTCTTTAGGAGAAAGTGGCTGGTGGTCCTTCCCAGCCATGTTTTTAGAGGTCCCTTTTGGTTGATGACCTCTGAGTTTAACCCCCAACCAGTATGCAAGGGATATGATTTACATATCAATTAATTAAAGATTTTTGCCTAGTGCTCTTTTTGGGCTTAGCTCTGGGAAATTGCTCATGTGGTACCTTGCTCTCCTTTTTCTCCTTGAGGACCTTCTTTCCCATCTCTTCCTGGAAATCCATTACTTCCAGGGGTGCCTGGCAATCCATTAGTCCCAGCAACAATTGTGCAGATGTTTGCTTTCTCCACACATTCGCACTGCTCAGGTTCTGATGATCTCACCAAGGACACTCCCAACACAAGAATGCAGATGAAATGAAGCTGCATATCTCACGGGTGGTATCACTGGAATGATGGGAAGGAAATAACAGCACCTGTTAGGTGAAAACCTGTGTCTGGACTGTATCATGACAAGGACTGTATCAAATCAAGGTAAGGCTGCATCAAGAACTGTATCACTTTGAGGTAAATCTGTGTCACATCTTTCCTCAGCTTGGCTCTATCCACAAAGGTTGAGTTAGACCTGCCAACGTCAACCAACTAAAGTGACAGGTTGAGGAAGATGGGCAGTGTATTCCCAGACATCTATTCTCCAACATGTCCATTTCTTATGCATAGGGATCTCTTGTTGTACTGAACTGGACTGGAGAGAAGATCCTGGATTTCACATTCTGCCAGGCCAGAAAAATAATGTTGCTTTCTTCACACACAGGGCGAAAGTGCATGTTCTGTTTTTTCTTCCTTTAGGAGGATCATCAGCAGAGGTTTCCAGGTTTGCAGCTCAGTTTTGCAGGCTTCAAAAATACCTGGAAGCAGAGAGACAAGCCTCCAACCAGAAGGAGCACTTTGGGTTAGAAAGTCTGTGTACTTCTGCAGAAATGTACATGTAAGGCATCAGAAGAGAGTTGCTAGTCAGAGAGCCATGCTGTTTTTAGCCATCTCTGCTAGCAGGGGCATGCTCTTTTCAGCTTAAAGTCAAGCACACCTCATACTAATAGCCAAAAGGAGGATCATCAGTGTGGTTGCAGCCCTGAGAGTTACTCACTCTCGGTGTTTCTTTCCGATTGCAAGGAGGTAAGCCTACAACAATGGCTCATGCAGAGAGAGCCTCCTCTGAGAGAAGTTAATTGGGCCTCCTCTGAGAGAGGTTAACTGGGCTGCATCTATGCATCAGGAGTGACTTGCACCCCAAGAAGAAATGTAGCAGAATTACCTGTACCCAGGTTGAGTGGGATGGAAGGTAGAAAGGCCAGAACAGGGAGCTGTGCAGAGGCGTAGTAGGTGACCTCTCTGGCATGCATGCAGCACATTAAATTGCTCTGGTACAAAATGCAAGAACACTGGAATAGTGGTGTTCCCAATTGTCTGGAGGAGCCCCTATAGCAGGGGTGAAGAACCTCTGGCCCACAGGCCTGATGTGACCCACAGAGGTTCTCAATCCAGCCTGTGGAATCTTAAGCACCATCTGGGCTCACTTTCCTCATCCTTCTCCTTGGCAATCTGTCCCTGGACCAAATAATCTCTGCTATTGCTGTTTTGCACCTTGAAATGAGTGCATGTGCATCGTGGGCAGAAGGGGCTGCGGTCTTGTCTCCTCCACATGCATGCCTCCTCCCTGCAAGCCATCTGAACTGGCTATGGATGCAGTACAGTCACAGTTTTTCCATTAGGAGCATTAGTTGGGGCTCTCTAGCCACAGATATGGAACCCACCTCTGCATGATGTGAAAAGACCAGCTGTTTTTCTTTGCTAGCAAGAAGTAGGACCGTCTTTGCCTTTTCCATTTGGAAAAACTTGCATTTCAGAGAGAGAGTTCTATGTGCAAACAGCAAGTTATCTCAACAGTTGCCAAACTGATTTAACATCAATTCCATTCCTGAGAGCTATTTGGAGTTTCTTTCCCCCATTAAAACAGCAAGTATTCTGGATTGTCAGGGGCCTAGAGAACCTTGGTTAGCTTTCTACAGCCTAATGCACTTGAGTTGCTTTGGACTAAAGCTCCCAGAATCCCTGGCCATTGAGTCCTCTGCCTGTGGCTGATGGATTTTGAGTAAAAAACATCTGAAAGGCCCCAAGTTGTGAAAACTGGACCTAAAAATTATATTTTAGTCTTGATTTAGTATTTACAAGGGAATGTATATCAATGAGTTAATTTCACATGGAAAAATGATATTAATTTAGGCAGTCCATTTTATTGTAATAAATTGGTCACACACTGCAGGGAAAAGGGCCAACAGGAGCAACTGGCAGCCCTCCAGGTTGAAGGAATATCCAAAAATTGCTTTCCGTATTCCCCTTTAAATCCTGCACAGACCTGCAGACAAGATGAGAAATTTGGTTGTTCTAAATGCTGCATACTTTTACTATTTCCATTCACCAAATGGAACAAGCAAGTGATATTCTCAAGTCAAAGATGAGTATATTGCATTCAGTGACAAAAAGTTTCTTATCCTTAATACAAAAACAAACTTACCCTGCTTGGATGCCCTTTCCAAAAGTTCAACTGCATCCAAGAAAAGGATATTTAAACTTCAGTCCCACATCCCACACCCAGGGAAGCCCCATTTAACTAAGTATGTCTGAGCATATTTGCATAAATTTGCACTCTTGGGTTGCAATCCTATGCTTGTTTAGATGGGTCCTTCTCTTTTGTCCCTTAACATCCACTGGATTGTATGTCTGTTTATTTTAATAGTTTAAAAAGTTGGTAAATCGATTGAACAGCTTGGAACTCAATGGGAGATGTTAAAAGGTATACAACTGAACTCATTTGCAAGATGGAGTCTCAGTAATTTGGGATATTCATTCAGATTTCTACTAAGACAAGTTTTCCACTGAGATATGGCTACTAGTTGGCCCGGCTCATTGATTATCTATCTGTTTTGTTCAGGGAGGAGGAGGGACATAAGAAACCTGGTGGTGCTGCGTGAACAGAGGTGAAGGGGCATGTTGGAGGTCTGTCACAGTAGCAGCAGCCCAGGTGGAATGCAGGGGTATGGCAGACTGTTAGATTACAGGGAGGGAAAGCAGAGAACTCGAATCTGGTCTCTTTGGGGCACCGTGCCTATTGCTAACACCCTTTGGGAAAGGAGAGCTTACCTGTCAGATGAGCCTTTATTGGGGTACAATTGGGGATCCCTCAATACATTTCTCCCCCACAGCACCACAATACACAGAACAGATCCTCAGAACAGATACCATTTTAATTTTGCCTCATAAGGAGACAAAGGTAGGCAGAGGACTTGCTCGGTTCAAATCCGACACCTTGACTGACAGGATAGTACTGCCAGTCTCTTTATAACATTTGACATTTACCTGTGTGGGAAAGGTAGGCCTATCTGATAAACACAGAGCAAGTGAAAGAGTTTGCAACCCCACCTTTGCCCTGCACAAGGAAGTGGATTGTTGAGGCCACATACGAGTTTGGGTTGGCTCATATGAAAGTCAAATGAGCCGATGTGACTTGGCAAAGTCACTGAGAAGATTTTGTGAGCAAAACTTCTAGGAACTGCCGCTTCGATCTAAGAGCAACCCTTGTAAGTCCGGAATGCAAACATGTATACTCTGAGTTCCCAAATTAAAGGAGAGCTCTCAACGGACATTCCATCGAAGAGTTCATTAATTTCCAAATGAGTGACAAATTAATTTGGGGCCAGTTGTCCTATCAGTGGTGGCAATACGCAACATATTCAGGCTGCAAGCTGCTGAACCCTGTGGAGTGTCCCAGGAGTATTAAGAAATGCCCAGACTCCCCCTATAAGAGGTGGTGCCAGTCTTGGGGGAGGAGATTTCCCATTTTCAGCTTCTCCATTCCCAGCTCCTGCAGAAAGTTCTGTAGCACCTACCACCCTGACCTCACAGTAGGAGGCGGTGGAGCTGTAGAAAGTGGTGTCAGCAGGCTAGGTGAGGCTTTGGAACTGCGGCATCCCAAGGTCCTCCCAGTCCCTGGAGTGCCCACAATGTGGGGAAGATCAACTGTGGAGCTGATCATTCCTTTGCTTCAGAAAAAGAACAGCTGGAAGGAACAGATAATGTTGCTCTTCTTGGTCCAGCTGGCAAGAACCCAAGATGGTTTTGGATAAGTTGGATGCTCTTACCTCAGAGCATTCCAACTACAGTTGGAATTGCTCAGTTCAGCTGCCCCTTTTTCTGCGTCCTGTTGCACACAGGAAAATCATAATTTAGATAGTATGGTAAGAAAGATTACCGGCTTACCTTAGAAGAGTTCTTTTTCTGAAGGATTCAGCAAGATCTGGTTTCCTTGCTACCTCTTTTCTCCAAAGAGAAGTTTGTTGCATTCTGGCTTCACCCACTCCTGACCTGCCAATGGGAATTCCAGCAACACCCACCCCTAGCCCAAATTGCACTCATGAAATAGAAAGGGATGACTCACCACCAAAGAAAGGAACAGATGAAGCAAGAATTCTCTGCAGAACTTGCCAGTAAATTACCAAAGTCCTTATTTGTTAAAGCAAATAATTGCTTGAGTTATGCTTTTTTGAAAGACCCTGCATTGCAAAAGAGTGTTAAGACATACAGTGATAAAGATCTCTAGCTGTTACCCTGCTCCAGAAAGGAGGAGTTTGGAAGAATTTGGGCAGGAGGTTAGCAAAAGAAACATCGTGGGTAAGATGGGAGAAACTGTAGCTGAAAGGGAGAAAGCCATCATGACCAAAACACTGGAAAGCTCTTGGATTCATTTACCTGTACATTTAACATGTGTCCCATGACAGGTAGATAGAATGTCGTTTCACTTTAAATGCTCAGATCTCTAAAGAACTAAAATAAGACGCAGATATTACAGGCTGGTTCTAGATCTAGTCATGCTTACAGTGGAGCCACTGAAAGCAGTTCTGACTCACTTTTCCAGTTGATTTCAAGAGACCTGCTAGAACTGTGACTAAGTCTGGACTCGGACCAGCCTGCATTCATCTGAATCAAACCCAAGGGGGACTCTGGCAACGTGCAGATAGTGGTGACACTCATTATATAAGGAGCGAGGAAGCTTTCAGCTGAAGGTCAGGAAACTACAGAGAGGGACTTGGCCATCTGGGAGTCCGAGAGTGCTGGACTGGGACCTCAGGAGGGGCAGCTTTGACCCACAGGCATGTGGTGTGGTCCACCCGTGGATTGCACCATGGTGAAAGTACAGGAGAAGCATCAAGTGTGGTTCTCAATCAAAAGCTCAGGATACGACGCCAATAAGGTGACAGCGTTTAACTTTGCTTAGGACCTCATTTCAAGAACATATTTTGACTTGGGCAAAGGCTGAGAGGCCAGCGAGATTGGCTTTGCTGGCACATGTTTCTACCCAAAGCATATTTCAAAGAAACAGTCCATGCAGCTCTTTTCCCTCAGCTTTGGTGGAACCTCTGCTTCTACATTTCTGGTGCTAGACTGGAAGAGTGTCTGTTGTTCATATGACGGGAAGGGGGAATTTAAAGTAAAATCAGAAGGCAGGAAGAGAAGGAGATGATGCAATACCTTTCCCTCATGCTTCCCATTAATACAATGGATTTTATCACCTGAAAATGAACACATGGTGCACATTTTCATTTGACTGCAATCCTATGGATGCTTAGAAAGCAAAAAAGGTCCTCCAACTCCCAGCATGGTTGGCTGGAAATTGTATAGTAGGAATTGTAGGAATTTCTCCTCCCTGGACAATGCTTTCCCATTATTTCTTTAAAAGGGAATTGCATCCCTCCACATATAGCAATAATATTACTGAATTGTTTTTGATTGTTTCTGAAGTGGGTGGTCGAGGGCAAGCTGGGTGGGAACTACAATGACATGCAGGCAGTTTCAGAGCAAGTGGCCGTGCATTCCTTCTTTGTCTTCTTTCTTCATGGATATCCATGCTCCTCTGTGGTTGGCTACCCGTAGAGTGTATTTTCTAGAATATTGTGTAGTGTATCAGTGATGATGTGTAGGGTCATTTGGGGTCAAAAAGCCCAGGGTTTTTTCCTACCTGAAGACAAATTTCCATTGAAAGCTCCCCCGACCCCCGTGTGTGTGTATGTGTGTGCGTGTGCGCACACATGCGTGCGTGTCTGTGAAGATTCCTGAACTTTGCAGAAGAGAACAAGTATGGTTCCTTTGCCCCGGATCCTCTTCCCAACACCGCACAACCTGCCCTTGTGCCTGAATGGCTGCTTGTGCAAGAATGCAAAAATATATAATGAAAAGAACAACTCTGTGCAATTGTGTGCAGCTAGAGAGCTCTGCAGGGGAGTGCTTGAAGGGGGGAAAAGAAGCAGCATGTTTGTTATGCACAGCTGAGTAAGTGTGCACTTGAAATATCCCCGGAGGATTTTTTCCCCTTGCGAAATCATGTTTGTTTATTTAACATTATCTTTCGGTTGCCTTTAAGGCTGCAGATGGCAAATCTTCTCAGAGAAATAAAAACTGAAAAGGAAAATGGTCTGCCCAAACTGGGTGGCAGGTCATCAAAGGCGAATAAGCTGAAATTGTTGAAGACAAAGGACACGGAATGATGGAACGCGATGCCAAAGGGGAGGTGGGGCAGAAAGGTTGCCAAATGGGTTAAACTACTCCTATTTTGCCTGTGTAATAAAAGGAAGGCTCTGCTAAAGTATTGGTGCTCCTAACAGTGGAGGCTAGGGAACCAAGGAGCCCTGGGAGCAGGCAGCTGAGATTAAATTTATTTAAATTTATATTGCATTAAATTACAATTAAATTAATTTTTAGATCTCTAGACAGTCAGAGGTCTCTGGGATTGTGGTCATAAAACCTTGGGCTGCCAACTGTCTATTTCATCTGTGGATTTCTAAACACAACTGGTTTAAGTATCTCAGATACATTGTAAATGCACATAGGGTCGCAGCTCAAAAGAGAGTAATTAAAATTCGCAGACAATTAATCATCTTTCCGTGCAGGACCTGTCATTCCACTTGCCATCCAGATACATTTCAATACAGTTCTCTTTCGATCCAGCATTATTCGGTTCTCCATTTGCCCAGTTGGTGTACCCTATCGGATCCCCACTTAGGTATGCAAAGGTGCCTTCAGCCTGTATGTCGTCCATTCCCAGATATGCTGCCTTGTTATGACGAGCCACGATTTGCTGGATGGCCGTGTTCTCCTCCATGCTCTGCGGGGAAGCCAGCTGTCCACCAGCCTGGAAGCAGGTTGCTTTGGAGGCCTCAAAATTGCCTTGAGAGCCATCCATTTTGAAGAGCTTTCCTCCAAAACTTCTGCCATTTGGGAATAAATGAGCTAAAGGAACACAGAATCAGCAACACTCTCTTAAAGGGTGACTCCATATTAGGCTCAAATGTTATGTCGCATGGAATTCTGGGACTCTTTCCCCCAGCCAGACAGATGCTGTGTCAGGCTCAAAGAGGGAGGTTACCAGTATATGCAGCCCCATAACTTTCCTTCCAGGGGTAAGAAAACAGAGTGAGGTAGGTGACTTGAAAGAATACAGGAACCTTCCACATACAGATGAAAACATGAGTCCGTAAAGGTCTACCCATAAAGGTCTACACTCACCAGTACAGTCTCAGAATTTCAGGCAGGAGTCTTTGCCAACACTTATCCCCAGTTCCTGTTAAGTGAGTCCACTTCAGGTTCCAAAACCAGTTCTCCTGAAGTCCCAATCCTTCCCATAAGTCCCGTCTTTCCTTCTATGGAAGACTGGCTTTTCAGCTTTTGTGCAGCCCTGCCCCAGTAAAAAAATGTTGAAATGCCTCTCCAAAGACTTTAAGCTACAAGATGCCAGCACTCTGGGTATTTCCCATCACCACCACCTTTGCCTTTCGCTTGTCCAACAGGGATCAGATCTAGGCCCTTTAAATGCACAGCATGTGTTTCACCCCTGAACAATGAGTCCCCCTTTTTACTAGGGGGTAAAGAATTAAGCAAACCCTTCTCCCACTCAGCCTTACAGCTTACCCAGTGATGGAAGGACTCCTGGACCTTGATAGAATACAATCAAGAAGATATAATATAATTCTTACACTGAAGATCTAGCTAATATTTCACCTCTTTTCTTGATGAATAGAAATTTTAAAGTTTATTATTATTTGATTGCATTCATGCTGGATGTCTGCTGCTTGAACCTTGGAGTTAGCATTCACAATAGAGTCATTCACCCTCTGGAGATCTCATCCTCCAGGGCGTAGAGGAGGATGGGCAGACATGGGGACATGACCCAGGGCCAAGCAACTTGCGCTGCTTCCACACTCCCTCTTGCAATTCCAGTCATGCCTGGGGGTTAAACACCTTTCTCTCTCTCTCTCTCTCTCTCTCTCTCTCTCTCTCTCTCTCTCTCTCTCTCTCACTCACTCACACACTGTAGGTTAGGCTGAGAGGGAGTGGCTGACTTAAAGTTAACATCTGAACGCCATCCTTTGCAAACATTTCCTCAGGAAAACTGTCCGATCAGTGCCCTGTATGGGTTGTTATCATGCTCACCAGCGAAGTTTTGATGGAACACTTAAAGACAATGCATGAACAGCAGACCTTACCTTTTCCTCCATGATCTCACTTTGGTCCTCTTTCACCCTGGTCCCCTTTCAGGCCTGGAGGACCTGCTTTCCCTGGGGGTCCCTGTATTCCTTGCAATCATAGCAATTCAGGTATTGGAAAATAAAAAATGAGTGATAATATTACACAAAGTAGGAAACACAAACAGATGTTCAACATCTACAAGAGATCATTTTATAACAACAACAAGAACCCATTACACCGAACAACCTTCCCCAACGTGGCACACTCCAGATATTGGAATGGAACTTGCACCATCCCCAGCCGGCACTGGGAAGCTGGGATGCAGGGGCCCTTAGATCTTGATGAAAGCAGAAGCTCTGGCTGAACCTGGAACAGACATTTACCTTAATCTCAGATCCACAGTGTTGGTCCAAGCATTTACAATGTTGTGTTCATGTTGCTTGCATACTTTGACTTTGCCTTTGGATATTTGCTAATACTCCGTATGAGGATTATTAAGTTCCTCTTTAATTGTGACAAATTCATCTTTGCCCTGGAGTTCTATGACCTGGAATTCCAGAATTCCAAATCCTGGGTGGGAAGCAGATAGTTTGCCAAGACTCTCCTCTTATCTATGCCCCTTCCTCATCTGCATCTCCATCAAGCAGGGTAGTTGGCTGCATTTCTGTGCTTTGCACCCTGGCTCAGGATGCAGCAGAGATAACAAGTGCACTGCCTGGGGAGAAAGGAACAGTTCTCTGTGTGGATAGAGGAGTGTTGTCTGTGCGGGAGCAATCTGCGAATACAATGGCTTTGGGTTTTGCTGATCTGAGAATACAATGGCTTTGGGTTTTGCTATTTTGTGCAAAGAATTTAGCAAAAAATGGGCTTGTAAGGTCTTTACAGGATAGAAGCTGGTTTTCTTACAAGTTGGCAGACACAGTATCCATGCTTTGGATGAAGAAATGTTTACTCCAAGGTTATATTTAGTAGGTAATTCACTTCTTTGATTGTTTCTAACTTTCTGAACCAGGGAGAATTGCAGGTTATTTCATGCTGTGTCATGAACCCTGGCTGGGATGATCTCATCCTAAGATTCAGCAATTGGTTCCTGGATCAAATCCAGCCCCTTCGGAGTTATCGTCTGGTACCCAATTACCAACCAAGAGGGGTATTTGGAAAGCGTAGCAATTTAGGATAGAACCAGTAGAAAGAGGGCTTCACCTCTTCCTCAGAATGGCTTTCTGGTAGTTGTCAATGCTACTTTGGACCTTGCTACATAGGAAACACTTGTCCAAATGTTCATAAATGGAAAACTGTTATCAGATATTCTCATTGCATTAAGCACATATCCAATACGGCATTGTAACCATACCTTGATCACCCTTCTGTCCTGTAGGGCCTGAAACTGCATTGCCTCCAGGAATAAAAGCACATGTGTTTATTCTGTCTTAACATCTGCATGATTCAGGGGTTGTGATAGTCCCACTACCGAGACAAGGAAGATGAAGGTCCAAAGGAAACCTATCCTTGATGATCTGGGAGAGTTTTTGTCTAGGCTTAAAAGCATGAAACACATTCTTCAAGTAGCAAGCTGAAAAAGCGTGTGTGTGTGTGTGTGTGTGTGTGTGTGTGTATTATTCATCTTGAGCATGCCAATAGAAAATTATGATGTAAATTAAATTTATAATAGGCAATTTTTTAGCAGAATGGTGAATGTGCACAAATACTGGTGATTATACATATTCATGGCTCAGCGAATGAGCAGCACGTAACATAAGTGAAAGGTTTTTCACATCAACTATTCAATATAATTATTTGCTGTAAGGTTTTGGACAATGGAAATGGATCACAGATGAGTTGATCCTTGCTTGTTTAATATGTACATATTATATATGTACTGTAATATCGAAACAGTATTGTGGTTTGATGTAACTAAAGATGTATTTCAGATTAGGAGGGGAGCTAGTTGCAGAAAAGCGTTTGGTGAACCTCCTCCAGAGATTCGTCTCCCTCGGTAACAAAAATCTCAGGCCCTGTTGCCAAAGGGGAAGCTTTCCATATCCTGCTCGAATCTGAAAAACTGCATGTCAATTAGGGGAACTAGGGAAATGGATCCTATTACAAGTGTACTATATTATGTGTAGCACCAGTACAGTGGGTTAGAATGGCTTAAATTTTCTCTGGGAGGCAGATTTGCCATCCTCAGTATCTGATGCAAATTGGAAAGCACCATGGCCACGTTTTCCATTTTGTACCATCCCTGCCAGGCTTGGAGAGAATGCAAGTATGATGGTCTACAGATGGAATTACATCCCACCCAGATTATAACATATGAACCTCTCTTTATCTCCTAACCGCTGGTGAGGTCATCACACTATAGACTCTTTGATGCACGTAAGATAGGAATCTTCCAGAGTTCACATGTTCTGGTCTCACATCTTTGGAACACTGTTTCTCAGTTCATTCACAATAAGTCTCTTTCTCCACTTGCCCATCAATGATAACATTGCCAGAAAAATAACCTAAAAGGACTTATAATACTTCTTATTAGCAATGGTCTGTCTAGAAATTGCTCAATGAGGGAAATCGAGTGCAGGTTTCACCTTACAAACTTGGTTAACCAAGATCTGTCAAATAACTTCAACAGAGTTCTTGACACATCACAGCAAACATTTTCAAAGATTTAACAAAAGAGACTGCTTTTGTGAAACTTGGCTTCCCTTCTTTCTGTTTGTGGAAAGAGGTCTCCTTGCATGCGTGTCTCTGGAAACTCCGAAATAATTTTGGAGGGACTTAGTTGATTAATCTTGCTGGTCTCACCAATAATTTTAATGCTGGACTTTAAGACAATGGGCGCCATAGCAACTAACAAAAATAGTGTTCTATTTTAAAAATGAATTCAGCAGAGCGGCTTCTCCAGTTCCAGAATTCTCTCCCAGAAGATGCTCACCTGCTCTCAGCTCACCAGGCTGAGATTTTTGAGTTCTTTTGGAACTTTTGAAAGCCTTTCTGTGCATTTTTCAATGCTCAGGTATTTTTGTTTTGTATTATCCTGATGCCTGCAATGTGTACTTATCTCTTAAACCTGATGTTGTACTTCACGCTGTGCTGGCATGATCATTAGTTTTGTATTGATGATTTTATTGTGATTTTACTTGTGACAGCATGCTGTCTGCTAAACACCTCGGGGAATTTAATTTATGATGAAAGGAGAACCTCAACCTCTTTGGCCCTGTCATGTTTCCAAACCCTCTGGAGAGCCCTGGTCCTGTTACTTACATTGGAAGAGGAATGTTCAGTGACATAAATGGAAGCTTTCCTTCCAACACAAATAGTATGAGTGAAGTGAAGGAGAAAAGGTTAAAACTCCTTTATCTCCCATTAAACTGGTGTGAGGGCTGCCTTCCTTCACACCCGCTATTTATTTTTATTTATTTATTTAGGAAGCTTCTATGCTGCCCCATTCGCTGGAGCCTCGGGGCAACTCACAACAATAAGCTATATCTGATATATACCCGCTATATATATTCCTCCATACCCGCTCGTACTTTTAGGGATCCACAGGGAATTACTTCTTGTGTGAGGGGCATCTCTTCTATTTTGGCTGTGATTTACAGCAGCCTCGAAGGGTTTCAGGCAGGTGCTCCTGGGATGAAAGCATGGCTCAGAAAAATATTCCTATCCACCCTCTGAGACAGCTAAATTAGAAGGCAAAATGAGCAAGATATACACGAAAAAGATCTTTATCTCTGAAAAAAATTCAGTATATTTTAAAGGTCCCAGTAGGGATATGGCAAGAGCTACTAAGAAAGTCAGAACAAGATTTCCTTTCCAACCAGGTCAGAGAAAGTCTTAGCCCTGCATAATGACTTCTGCCTCAAAAAACTTGATGTTCAGGATGGAAAAACTGGCCATCATTATCTGTCTATTAAATGAAGTTGATTAATCATAGGAGTTGATTAATTGTGAGGTGTTTCAGAAGAGATTGATTGATCAATTAATTTAATCTGCACACATTTGAAAATGATTGAAAGAGTGTCTTATTATAAACGAAGCAATTCCCTCCTGTGTCAGAGCCTTCTCATAATTTTCCAAGATTGTGCTTGGCACTCATTTATTTTAAAATAAAAAGCTTGTAATTAAAGATGGTAACTTTATATCCAATACCAATAAACCAACTAAGGCTTCAATTTGGTCCCCAATGAATTTGGAATAAGCCCCTTTGAAATTACTTACAATTGAGTAGACATTTCTGTGATCACACTCTAAATGCAGTACATAGGATCTCTCTCTACACAAACAAGAGCCAGTTAATCTACAACTGATGATCACTTTTGGGGTAGAATTTGTCCAAAGCAACATAGAACAAGAGTTTAGTGGTCACCTGGTTTTTTGTTCTATTTTTATTATTATTATTTAATTAACAACAGGCCTTTTATTGTCCACCCCACTCCCACTAAACCACTAAACCACAAACACTGAAAAGATTGTGTAGGGCACAATTTTAAGCCTGTTTAGATGGAAAAATGCCCACCACTTCTGGGAATGCCCGGCCTTTAGAGAAGGCAAGAATCACACTTCTGTGAGTCCAAATTTCATTTCCTGGCTAGAAAGCAACAAAATTGACTCCCTTTGGACTTTCTCTGACCTTATCTCTCAAGTGAGAATTACCTCTTTTCATTCCATCCACTCTGTCTACCAAAGTTCACATGCACCAACTCCCCACAACAACAACAACAACAAAATTAAACATTAAATGACTTAAAAATATTCAGGGCACTGGCATTATGTACAAGCACATTATGATGAGTAGTTGTTGAGAGAGGTGATGAATCTGACTTCAGCTACCACATCAAGTTGTCATGAAAAAATGAAGTCCTTCCCCCCCACAGATTTCATGTCTGAACTTGTGGTTCTTGTAGCGTGGACTGAAAGTCCTTCAAGGATAGGCTTGTCTACCCTAAAGTATGACTCATGGCCACCCTTTGCTGCTAAGAGGACATTCTGTTTGATCCTTCTGTGTCATCCTTTTCACTGGGGCTTTCTGCATGGAAATCTTGTGCTCCAGCAGTGAACACTTGCATCGCACAAACTCTGGGAAGGAGAAAAAGATGTTGCCAGAAGATGGCACCCTTCTGCATTCCTGGACCCCAACAAGCCTAGAAAGGCAGACAAATAGCTAGAAAAATTAGCAACAGGGGGGAATGCCAGGGGCTACAAGCACATGGAAGATGACTGGGAAGCCAAGCAGAGAAGGGCAGAATGTGGTTATTGCCAATTCAGAGAACCAGGTCAAGGGTAACCAGAAGACCTCTGGGTTGGGCAGAGCTATTCTAGAACCTGGGCAGAGAGAGACATACAAATGATTCACCAAAAGGACTAGCAGAGAGTAGAAGTACAGGCCAATGTTCTGCTCTTGGCTGCTTTCAACACTTTCCTCGGTGCACCAAGGTAATCTAACAGGTTTGATGTCCTACTCAGACATTGTAGCTTAGGTGATGGGGACACAACACAATCTCTTATGTCTGATTCTGTTCACTTGATTTTCCGGCAAGGGAAAAATGATAAGTGGCAGCACAAGCAAATTCTTGAGCAAGTGATTGAAAGCGGGGGATCAGCTGAACATCAAACATCTCACACAAGGTTTTGGGGATATGAAGAATTCTTCTGGGACATGCATTGTGGCACATACCCAGACTTGCATCCCGGTGAAAGCAGCAGCAAAGAAAAGGCAGCATCCAAATGCGGTTGTGCTGGGCATCCCATTGAAAGCAACGGAGTAGCTAGAGCAGGAAATGGGCAAGCCGTGCCCCTCTGGATGTTTTAGCCTACAAGCCCCATCAGGCAGCATACCCATGTTGAGGGATGATGGAGTTGTTCAGAGGACCACAAGTTGCCCATCCTTGAGCTGGACAACTAGTATATTGGCATGTGTGCTCCAGAGCAGATCTCCTTTGCGCGGTGGTTTGCAAAGCCTTGAGACTAGCACTGCCGTCACAGGCAGGCAACTGCCAAGGGCCCACAGCAAGACCCCCATGAAGTTGCTCTTCTTCACAGTTGCTACTTCCCCATCTACCTGCCTCTTGCGGCTGCCCGAACCACAGTGGCAGTGAGAGGCAGGAACGGCAGATGCCCTTGCTGACTTGGGGGGTAACAACTGCACCAAGAAGGCAGAACCACAGAGGGAGGGGGTCACGAGAATGTCTCCCCCAACACCCCTTGAAAACCCAAAGCTGGCACTGAACGAGACAAGCGACGGAGAATGTGAAGCATTTTCTAGCTCATCTCCACCAAAAAGAAGCATGTTATTCGCGCTTGATCATACGAAGAGAAATGCTTCTGTGTGCTATCGAACATTTCATTAAATGTTTAATGGACATTTGTGAAAATAATATAAATAGAAACACCCTGTGCTGGAACCCACCCCTACCCACTCATACAAAAAATTGGTGCAGCTTCAAAGTGCACAGTTCTTTAGACTGCAGATTAGAGACTCAGGGAGTTTCCATTCTTTTCTGAAAGTGTGTCTTAAGCAGTGCATAGGTGCAGGTGGTTTATTTATAAAGCCTTATCAAAGTGCACAAAGATTTTAAACAATAACACAAGCAAGGGGATGGGCCCTGCCCCAAGCAGCTTACAGTCTAAATTTTGCCAGTTGTGGAGACCATAGAGGGGAAGATGGGCTAGGGAAAAAGGGCTTGGGAAGCTAATGGGAAGAGTAGGTGAGAATGCAGTTATCCGTACTAAGGCTTCATTCCATTAAGAGATGAGGTCCAGCCAGAGGCTTCACAGAAAAGGTGGAGTTGAAGGGTGGCAGGAGAAAGAGGTGGCAACCTGTGAGCATTCTGGGAGGAAGTTGCAGGAATATAGGGGCTTCAAGGGAGTAAGGGAGAGGTTTGGAAGAGCAGAACTTTGCCTAGTGTTATCAAGAAGAAATCCACATTGATGCCGAGTGACATCAGGAACATTCTTAGGCTGCTTTGTTGTCTCAAGTTGTTTCTCCTAAGGGTGAAGATCAAACTTGCAATGTTGATTGCAGGAGGCCTTCTGTGGACATCAAGCAGGGCTGGCCAAGGATGTTTTGTTGCCTGGAGTGAAGCACAAAATGGGACCCCCTCACCGGTACACGTCCAGAAGCTGGCTGCACCAGCCATTAACACTTATTTCTGAGCAGGCTTCCTCTTGCACTTGGCCTGGTCTTCCAATGAAAGAGGAGCCAAGAGGAAGTCCACAAAAGCTTGAGGCTCCCCAGCTGGCAACCTTCTTCAGCAGCTGCACTTGGCACAGAATAGGGGTCAGGGAGGGCCCCTTTCCTGATGAGCCCCTCATGACCAGCCCTCTTCAGCATCAGGTGCAGCTGCCCAAATGGTGGCTGAACCCACCATAGGAGGGCTGCTGCTTGCACAGTGCATGGAGCTCAATTCCTGGCAAGTGTCCCATGAACGCTGTGCATGCTTGCCCAAAACTTGGACTCAGGGCTGCTTCAGAGATTCCTCACATATCCCTAATCTAGATCCATATCTTCTACTCTTGACCAATGCCAGCTCTGTGGTGAGTAAATGCCTTTGAGAGCTCACACAGGTTGCTCTCTGGAGAACCTGTGATTGCTTTTCAGAGAGTGTCCCTGATAGGTTTGGCAGGTCTGTGTGTCAGTAAAGCCAATATTACCAGAAGGTCTCCAATGCTTCCTCACCCAGAGGAGATGAAACATGGGCTCATAGAATCATAGAACCGTAGAGCTGGAAGGGGCCATGAAGGCCATTGAGTCCACCCCCCTGCTGTTGCAGGACTCCAAGTCACACCATCCCACTCAGATGGCTGCCCAGTTTCTTTCTGAATGCCTCCAGTGTGGGAGAGCCTACCACCTCTCCAGGCACCTGGTTCCACTGTCGTATTGCTCTGACAGTGAGGAAGCTTTTCCTGATGCCCAGCCTGAATCTGGGTTGTTGGAACTTGGGCTGATTATTCCGTGTCTTACACTCTGACATCAGCAAGAAGAGCTCTTGACCTTCCTCTTTGTGACAACCCTTGAGGTACTTCTAGAGGGATCTCATGCCTTCCCTCAGTCTTCCCTTCTCAAGGCCGAACATGCTCAGTTCTCTCAGTCTTTCCTTATAGGGCAGTGTTTCCAAACCCTGGATCATTTTTGTTGCCCTCCTGTGGACGCTAATTTACCTGCATCTTTCTTAAATCTTGGTGCCCAGAACTAGACACAGTATTTCAGATGAGATCTGACTAGTGAGGAGTATAGAGGAACTACTACTTCTCGTGATTTGGAAGTAAGACTTCTGTTAATGCATCCCTAAATGGCATTTGACCTTTTGGTGGCCGCATCACATCATTGGCTCATATTTAGCCTATTGCCCACAATTACTCTGAGATTGTTTTCTTTTTCAGTACCATTTCAGCACTGATAAGGGCTCGCTACCCCTCAAGACAGAGGGAAGTAAGACAGGATGGTGTCCCATTATAAGCTGCCCTTTATGGGTAGTTTGCTTTGCTTCTTATGCTTGCCTTGTGCATGCATGTCAAAGGACAGACCCACCTGTGAGGGCTATGAGAATTATGACTACCTTGGTGCCTACAGATTAAAAGCAACGGGCGTATGCAGAGTTCTGTTCTTCACTGTAACTGGGTGAATGCTGGATGAGAAATGTTCTAAAATTCACAGACGATCAGCCTCCTTTCACTGCAGACCTTGTCATTCCACTTGCCATTTGCAAAGACTTCCACGCAGTGTTCCCTGTTTTTGTCATTATTGGGTTCTCCCGGTAGCCAGTTGGAGTAACTGATTGCATCACCATTCAGATATTTGAATTTCCCCTCTGACTGGAGATCAGTTATCCCAAGAAACACTATCTTGTTATAGAGCGCAGCAATCTGCTGGACTGCAGTGTTCTCGGCCGCATTCCTCGGGGAAGCGAGCTGGCCACCGGCTTGCAGACACCTTTGCTTGAGGTCATCGAAGTTGCCTTCGTAGCCAGTAGTTATAAACACCTTGTTGCCAACAATTCGGCCTCCGGGGAACATTGCCACTAGAACAAACACAAAACACGCAGGGTACAGATCAATCACAACATCAGCTTATGGCCATTGTGTTAAACAAAGAGAGCAGACCAGTGAAAATTGCCGCTACATCAGTTTGGAATAGACAAAATTTGGAAGGAGGTGGCCAATGCCTCTTCCAGGAATGCTTTTAGCAGCATAATCCCACCATTAGCAGATGCAAGTGAGGCCTACTAGAGTCTAGTAGTCTGGAATGAGTCCATTCCTTAGGTGCAGCCATGTGTATTCCCACTGAAAACGCAAAGAAACCACAGCTGTGACAAGCTGTAGCAGATTCATTGTAAAAGGTAAAGGTTGGCCCTTGACGTTAAGTCCAGTCATGCCTGACTCTAGGGGGAGGTGCTCATCTCCGTTTCCTAGCCGAGGGAGCCAGCGTTTGTCCGCAGACAGTCTCCGTGGTCACATGGCCGGCATGACTAAACACCGAAGAGCACAGAACGCTGTTACCTGCCCACCGAAGTGGTGCCTTTTTATCTACTTGCATTTGCATGCTTTCAAACTGCAAGGTTGGCAGGAGCTGGGACGGAGCAACGGGAACTCACCCCGTTGTGCAGATTCGAACTGGCAAACTTTCAATCAACCAGCCCAGCAGAACAGCGGTTTAAACCACTGCGCCACCTGTAGGTGCAGCTTAAAAAGTATTTTTAATTCATTGCCTTTCATGTTTATTGGTTGCTTTTTAAAATGCTATGATTATTTTGTAGACAAGTTGTAGGTAAGCCAAGGTATTTTGTCCATTATGTAATATATAGGATCAATTGCAGCCAGTATAGCGCAATGGTTAGACTGTTGGGCTCTGGAGAGATGGGTCTAGTCTGCACTCAGCCATGACCCTCACTGGGTGGCTTTGGGCCAGTCATGAACTCTTAGCCTCACCTATCTCACAGGGGTGTTGTGAGGATCAAATAGACAGGAAGACCATGTGGATTACTTTGGGTTTCTTGTAGGAAAAGTGAGGGTTGGAAATATAATTAACAAATACATTTATACCAATTCTTTCTGGTGCTTTATGAACTTCAGCATATTCACGCTATGTCATAAACTAGCAAAAATGATGCTAGTTCTCTAATATTTAGGTTCTGTGATGTTTGCAAGTGCGGTGACATCTCCCTGATCTGTCAACTGACCTACCAGATGATAAGGGATGTGATGCCCTCTCAAACCCTTTGTCTACAGGCGAGTATACTGTGCTGGCCTGCAACCTCTGTCTTAAGGGATCCACCTGCATCTCATAACAGAGGAAGATTTCAACACATCGTCACCATTCTGGTATCCCATCCAACATCTTACCTTTTTGGTACTTTGAGAAACTGGCTTGAAGCGCTTTCAGCTGTCCCTCCAGGGTGCTGACTTGTTTTTTCATAAGATTGACCTCTGAGAAGGAATGAAATGAATATGATCTCCAAGATATAGTGCTGTAGTACCGTGTGAAAGAAGGCATACTTGTAAGACTAATGTATGAGCATTAGTCTTACTTTCCCATCAAAAAGAATGGTACTTAAGTTAGACTAAAACTGAATAAAACCTATAGGATACGTCCCCCTGTAAACAGATAGTTTGCTAATCGAAATGGTACTTCTCACCTTCTCTCTCAGCCAACATCATACATGGGCAATTCAATCAGCTCCCTTACAGTAAATATACATTATTGGATTAGATAATGGACAGTTCTGCCCTTTGCCTACAGGTAGGGCTGGCAAAGTGGACATCGCCTAAGTGCTTGTGTGAGCATCAGTGGATATGCGATGCTATTTGTAAATCACCCAGTGTCTGCAATCTTTTAGAAGTAATCCTTGCTTGCTCAGAAAAATGTATCAGATTTTCAGATTATGATAAGTACTTCTGCCAACTGCAATTTAACAAAATATACATCATCTCTGGATCTGTCCAATTTTACATTAGAAGGAGGAGGGAGAGGCCTGCTCTGATTTGCAAGTAAATTCTGATCGTTCGTTGAAAAAAATTGTTGATCATCTGAGCTCCAAACTTGTCAGGGGTTCTGAAAACACTTCTTTGCTGGAAGGAGCACTGAACGGGAACTCCAGCAAGTCGAAACTTTTTTCTGAAGCTTGGTTAAATTAATCTCTTTAACAAGTGGCAACAAGGTTATCCTACTTACCTGAGAGACCGCTGTCACCCTTGGCACCTTTTTCACCTATGGAGCCTTTATCTCCTTTAGATCCAAAGGGGCCTGTTTTCCCCACTGGCCCTTGCACGCCAGTTGGTCCTGGTAATCCTATTGTGAGATGGAAAGGTTCCAAGTTAATTGGCAAGGGGCATTTGCTAGCCTTTGTGTGTGCGCGCGCATGTGCATTTGTGTTTTGTGCTTCAAAAATGCCAGGTTGGATCCAGGATCTGCCCTCCACAACAGGAAGGGTTCCACCTGCCCTGCACACCACAGCTCACCCCATCCTGCAGGGTCTTTTGTCACCATGAATGGCATTCTCAGGGGGCAAATGGATTACTATGGGAAAGAGACTGGGCAAAGAAGTATCTTTCCATCAGTGCAGTTGATCCAATCTGCTCAGGATCTGACCCACCCATTATAACTTCCCTATGAAAAGTTAGGATACACAGCAGCTGAACTATACACAGACCATATTGAAAGCTCGAGAAGGGTTAGAAAAAGGAATGAAAATAGGAGGAAGACACATTGATGATTTAAGATATGCAGAAGATACCATTTTCCTGGAAGAAAGCAACAATGAACTGAAATACCTCCCGATGAAAGAAGAAAGTGCAAATGCAGGGCTAGAGCAGAATATTAAAGAAAACAAAAATCATGACTTCAGAAGAATTACAGAACTTTATGGTCAGCAATGAAGTAATTGAAATTGGCAAAGATTTTACAGACCTACAGACCAATTAACAGGGAGACTGTAGCCACGAAATTAGAAGACTGAGAGTGGGAAGAGCAGCAATGAAGGAAATAGAAACGATCATGAAGTAGAAGGGCATTTTCCTGGAGACCTAGATTGAGACCATTCATGTGAATATATTCCTAATCACAATGTATGTGTGTGAAAGATGGGCAGTGAAGAAAGCTGATGGGAAGAAAGCTGATGCATACTAAGTATGGTGCTGAAGGAGAGCATTGCAAATGCCCTAGATCAGTGGTGGTGAATCTATGGCATGCGTGCTGCAGTGGGCATGCGAGCCAAGTCACCCCAGCATCGCCCCAGCAGCCGTGCATTGGATAACAGCGCATATAGAGGCCATGCACATGGTCGGAAAGTAGTAGCGGCACCAGGCGATGATGTCACGAGCCACGACTCATTAGCCGCGACTCGTCCGAGCTTTTGCATGGCCGGTCGGTGTGCTTCCAAGGATATATATATGTTTGCTTGGACTGGCTGTGAGTTGTTTTGTCTAAACTAAAAGCTCAGTATTCAGGTCTTATTGCAGTGTCGGTACTTTGCGATTAATAAGTGGGTTCTGGGTTGCAGTTTGGGCACTCGGTCTCAAAAAGGTTTGCCATCACTGCCCTAGATGGACAGACAGATGAGCAAGTGGGTTCTAGATCAAATCAAGGGAATCCTTGTCCTGCAAGCAAAATTGATGAAACTGACGCTGTCATAACTTGAACCTATCATGAGAAGGCAAGTCTCACTGGAGAGGATAATAGGATAACTCAAGTAAGCTGGAGACAGAGCAAGAAGAGGAAGACCAAATATGAGTATCCAGTTTCAAACTATGGGTGTTTAGACTTCTTTGAGAAGCAAGGCAGTGTATTCCACAGCATCTGGGGTTTCTTCTGCATCTGATGATTCCACTGAGCTCTCGTGAGTTTTAGTAACCAGGGAAACATGTTTCCTCCATGAAGTCACCTATTTTTTAAGCCATCAGAGCTAATGACCACCACTGGATCAGTCTCCATTTCTATAAGCTAATGATGCACTGCATGAAAAAAGTGTTTTCTTCTGCTTCCTCTGAAACTTTCTAGGTCAGTAAAAAGGGTTGTTCAAGTCATGAGAAGGCAAGGCTGCCTGAAGGAGACAATCATGCTAGGGAAAGTTGAAGGCAGAAGAAGAGAAAGACCAAATAGGAGATGGATGGACTCCATCAAGGAAGCCACAATCTTGACTTGACAAGAGCTGAGCAGGTCTGTTGGACTGGGCTATTTGGAGGGCTTTCATTCACAGGGTTGTCATAAGTCAGCAATGACTTGATGACATGGAACAGCAACAACAGCAGCAACAAACCTTGGTAGGATGGACCCTTTCACTCCACTTACCTCTGGGTCCCACATCTCCTTTTGCTCCCTTTTCCCCCACAGACCCTTTAATGCCTTGGGGGCCAGGGGCACCCTTTTGTCCTTGGGGCCCTTGTGCTCCAGTACTTCCTCTGGGACCTAAATAAATAACAGAGAATGGGAGAAAAGTCACTCCAAATGGGAGGCACTTTCTCACAGTCAAACACAACATTACACAGGTCCTTTCAAATTACCTGTTTTCAGTGCAGTTACCAAATTATTGTTTACCTAACAGATGTGTTATATACTGGGAAGCAGAGGGATCATTACGACACTATTTCTCTGGGGTTGGCTGTATGAGTTTCTTGCAGTGGAAACAAGAGGCCCTGATGGCATCCCAGTTAAGGGACTAGCAAATATAGTATAAGCCAGCCTATCCCATCCCGGTGCCTTCTAGATGTGTTGGACTACAACACCCATCATTCTCAGCCAGCATGACCAGTGGGGGGTTGGAGTCCAGCACAGCTTCAAGACTTTCCACTTCGTAGTGGAAAACAAAGCTAAGCTTTTGCGGCTTGAGTCTAAAAGTAGGCTAGTCCATGAGAGTTCATGGCATTTGTAAACCAGTTTGAGAACATTATGCTAATCAAATGGTATATAAATTCATTAAATAAATGAATGAACATTTGTTAACCTTTTAAGGCACACAAGACTTTGTTTCTGTCCTTGCAAAATCCTTATCGAAATTCCTGGGAGAGGAAAAAAAATGTTTTGTGTTCTGGTGCCTCACCACTTTCAATCTAGGGCACTTTTCCTCAACCAAGGCCCCTCCAGATATTTTGGACTATAACTCCCATCACCCCACCCAGGAAGTTCAATGGTCAGGGATAATGGGAGTGGTACTCCAAAATTGCTGGAAGGATTCAAGTTGGGGAAAGCAGGCCTATGGCTCCACACATGATGAATGGAATGTGACGTATTTTGACAACAGCTGTGAAATTATGCAAAGCTAAATGGCACTGCAGGTGTCCCAGATGGGCAGCACAGAATTTGGCTTCACGCTCAGGTGTTCAGAGAAAACACCTGCATTAAACAAAAAGACCTGCCTCTTTGAGGGATGATTCATACAAGCAGTAGAACTTTTCTTCCCTCTGCCCCATCATGGATTGGATGCATGCATGCTTGGAGGAAATGTTTGTGTGAACCACCAGCTCACATGGGGGATTCGTTCTCAGTGAGATAGTAGAATAGTTTCTGTACCACTTCAGACTGGCATGCTGCAGAGCTGGTTAAGCTAGAATCGTTCTTCCCTAACACATCCAGGGAAGTTTTTCTGCCTGGGGGCCATACCATCATGCGAATTTCCACCAGCAAACTGAAATACTGCAGACCAGCTAATACCGAGAGCTGCAACCATTCTGTTTGCTAAAGGCTGTTTTCCCCAACACAAGTTGCCACCAGCATGGAAGCGATGGCTCACAGCACATAGGCTTAAAGATTAAAATGTCAGAATTTGAGCATTTTTCACTTTGGAAAGGGAGATTTGCACAAATTTGCATTAACTGATGCTCATTAGCATTAATGCACCTAGCCAAAAGTACAAGTTAGCACCACTGCAAATGAGCACATGTTGAATTTTGGTAAAAAAAATAAAATCTGATCCTCTCAATGAATGGATGATGGAATGAAATACAGCTGAGAATCTGCAAGACACAGATGGAATAAATATAGCAACACCCATACATCCCTATCTGTGGAAAGAGATCCAGAGGGAAAGGGAAACACTGAACTTACAAACACATTATGGTAACTTTGTCAGTTCCTAATATTTCTAAATTCAAAGCCCTACAAGAGATATTAAGCATAATAGGGTTGAAACACACATTTCCAGCATTTTTTAAAATTGGCAGCTGGGATCCAAAAGAGAAAAGAACATGTTTTAGGCATGCTCAATGGATGGATTTACTCATTTTGGAATGTGTTCCAGCAGAAGGGCAGCCCCCCTCCACCCTAGGACATCACAAATGACATTTGGGCCCTTCCTGGATCCCTCGATCTCAGTTCAAGAAACACGGTCTCAGCTCCTTGTCCAACTTGAAGAACGGGTTGTATGGCTTCTTGGATTGTAGTCGATGTATTTTATTGAATTCCCTGGTTTAAAAAATAAAAAAACACCCTTTTCTGGGACTGGCTTACCTGTTTCTCCCTTCACACCTTTTTCACCTTGTGGGCCACTGCTTCCTTTTGCTCCAGCAGGGCCTGTGCTTCCAGGAGGACCTTGCACACCTTGGACTCCACGCGGTCCTGTTCAGAGGGAAAGGGCGATGTGAGCAGTCAGAGAAAGAGAGAGGAAATGTGAGGTCCCAAACACAAAAAGTTATGCTATGTTGCAGCACTTCAGGGGCTACTGGAGCTAGAGCCCCCTCCCCGCAATGTCCCCTGTGGTAAGCTGCTAATGATGGAGGCCAGGTGGTCCCCTGTGCTGTGATGAACTTTGCTCCTTCAAAACACAGGTCTTCCCTGTCCTGGGAGAACTCCCACATCAGGCTGGGACTTGCTCTGGGAAATGGCAGACTCACGCACGTGCCTGTCTGGCAGTAGATGCCTCACCCTGGCCTGTGCCTTCCAAAGGCCTAGCTCTGATGCAACATCTTGGGAAGCAGAGTTAGTTCATCGTCCGATGCAGACGGTCGACTCCTATCCCACTATGGTGGATGAGTCCCTGATGATTCCAGTGCCTTCTTCCCTTATCTCTCCATATGACCCTGCACTGGTCTTGCAATCCTACCAACCTCACACTCCCAAAATTCTCCTTTATCCTTAATGAAAAGGTCCCCTTGCTACACTCAATGCCCTGAATCCCATCTCAGAAAACTTGCCTAGTGACACAGTCTTTTCCTCTTTGGAATTCCACTTCTTCCATGCGAAGCTTAAGTTTCAGTCCATTCGTTTCCCCTCACCTCTGAAATAAAGTTTATGTGGAATTGTGTCTCCTATACATACTAACTTGGGGATAAGACCCATTGAACTCAATGGCACTCTCTTCTGCACAGATCTACACCGGATTGCATGGCCAAATGAGGACAATACTTAGCTAGTGACACTGCTTACCTATGTCTCCTTTTGCTCCTTTCTCCCCTTGAGCCCCCTTTGCTCCTACTGGTCCAGCTGGGCCCATTTTTCCTGGAGGACCTGGTATGCCTCTCAGTCCTTGCAATCCTGGCATTTGATAAAATATTGAATACGTGGATTATGAAGGAGGTGGAGAGCAGGTAGTGATGAATGCAAAGCTGATAAATTACAGACTTGGCACTGAGAAATGCAAAGTGAACAGATGTTTACAAAGTGAGCAGTTCCGGGAAATAACATCATTTTAATAGTTTTACAAGTTTCTAGTCAGATGCAGAAACACTGGAGATACGACGTGATGGAACCCTAACACTCCATCAGGAATATTGCTAAATCAGTGAAGGCACCATCTAAATAAGGTGGATGGGAATGCTTCCATTCTCCATTTTCCAGACTTGCTTTCTCCTTCTCTCATGGCTCCATTTAAAACCAACTTTGCTTTGAAAGACCAATGTCCTTGGAAAGTGAGAACCAAAGGTTTCCCAGTTCCTGGTGCTTCAGGCTTCGCTTTGGCCTATTTGTAACTGCATCTGTGATGTCAAAGAACATATCTCTTGTGTATGCAGCCTCCTCTAACCTGCATGAAGCTTTGACTCCAGGGGGGCACAAATCACTTCAGAGGTCAAGTTCATTCTTAGCAATTCAAAAAGCTGCATTAGTTCTGGGAAACCATTTTTTTTACCATAGCATTGTTTTGGTTTTAACCCTCCTCCGACACTGCAGGCCTGCATCCCCATCTGCTGGTGGCAATGGATGAAGGCTGCAGATGGTACTTGGAGGGTCAGAGAAAGCCGCTTTGGTTGTACTTGATTGACCTAAGGCAGGGGCAAAGCGCAAAACTTCTCTAGCCAGGTGGGAAATAGGACCCCGTCACCTTGAGGTTTGACTTTTCCCCTGGAGACCCAGAGAAGAGGCCCAAAACCCTAACACTTCTGGTGAACCCCTGAAACATGGTAACCCGTGTCCCTCTTCCTTTTGTGTCATGTCTTTTGTAACCCTAAGAGCAGAAACTATACTATTCATCTTCATAAACTCTTCAGGGAGCCCTTTTGGGCTGAAGAGCAAGATAAAAATGGTACAAATTTTTAAAAAATGCATTTGCCAAGTCCGCTAATCTATAGAAGTGCTGGCCCCAGGTGCTTTCATGTACTCACAAAAATCCTGAAGGCATCTGCAAATACACCAAAGAAGAAACAGTTCCCAGACAATCTGCACAGGTAGACCTCAATAGCCTGAACCTGAACCTTCCCTTTTATTTGAACAAGTGAGTAAACGAGACATTGCATACAATTCCAGGAACATTTTATAAATAAACATAAATGAAGGGAACAGAAGGTAGGCTGCATGGTCATTCACTCCACTGTTCCAAGGTCATTCAAAGATAAAGCAATAACAAAGCTCTAGAACTCCTGGGAAGAATAAAAAAGCACACACAAGTCTTTATCACAAATGAACTGCATTGTTAGCACTTGCCAAAGTTGCCAACTGTAAAAATAATCAGTCAATGCAGAACAGAACCAAGCCCATTGAAATCAAGAGGCTTCAATGCTCCAAACTCCGTCTTGCATTATTCTTATAAACTGATGGCAGAGAGGAAAATAAGATATCATTCCAAATATTAACAAGTGCTAATTTGTTTCCTAGTATACACTTGTTCAGAATGTACCTTCCTTCGCATTTTTCCTGTTTCTGGAATGGGATGCTTTAGAAGTTACCCTATTCCAAGAATTTGGAACCCCTTTCAGCCCATTTCAAAAAATCTTGGGGTGGGGTCACATTTCAGTGGTGGGCAAAGCTGAAAGCAAAAGAGTCGGGGTCAGACAAGCATGCTAGGACAATAAATAGAGAAAGTACCTTAAGGCACCATATGGATTATGCCCTTCCAACTGTGTATGAGAGAAACACTGAGATGCTGATGCCCACCATCTAAGTCTTCTACCTGAGCCCAAGGGAAGGAAGGGCTGAGGCACCAGCAAGATACCTTACATCCTGGTGAATCTTGATCCTTGTGCCTGATACCCCTGATGTCACCCCGGTTGCTGGTTGCATTTGTGACGTTGGAAATACAACTGGTATGGAAAGATGCAAGGGAGATAGGGGGACCTCCAAGATGGGAGTCCCAGTTCTGACCTGAGGAGACACTGCTTTCCTGGGTGGACAGAAAGCTGAACCCCAGGAGGTCAAACCATGAGGAAGGTGCAATTTCCATACCTTGGCCTCCTACCTCTCCTTTTGGTCCTTGGATCCCATCTCTTCCATCTCTCCCTGGTAACCCATTCTGAGCTGGGCCACATACAACCAAGGAACAGGCATTCTGATCCAAACTTCGTATAACTTGATCCCGTGGTGGGCTTGCTGCTGGTGATACTTGTGAAACTAAAGCACCAAAAGTTAGGAGCACCAGCATCATTCGATAGGTTGACCTGGAGGAACAATTTAAAAAGGGAAAGGAAAGTGTTAACCCAAGGCATTCCCAGTGGAGGCGGACTGATTGCACTGGAGGATGATCAGATGAAGGCTAGCTAGTTTAGTACTGGCTAGCCATATTTGTGGATAAGGTGTTGTTGTTCTACAGTTGACCAAAATAGTGAGGCACAGCCTCCCTTGCTTTTCAGATGGGGTCCTCCAGTTAGAATGGTTGCAGCACTGGTTGGGCCAATGATGCAGTCAGTTCGCTGAGGGTGGGGAGCCCCAGTGACAAAGCATCAGCACACAAATGAATTAAGCAATTGTGTGAGTTAGTATCAGAGAAAGGAGGACCAAACCCAGACTTCTGCCCTTCTTTCTCATATTCAGAAGAATAAAGCACAAATTAACTAAAAGTAAACCCACCATCTTGTCCCAGTAAAAACAACAAGCAAACAGCAAAACATAGCTAGGTCTTAAACCCAATAACAGCAATGTTAAAAACAGGGATGTGTGGGCTATTGTGCTGAGTATGTGTGATTGTCTGACAGAAGTCATACACATAAGCTCCGTGTGATGAGTGCTGACTCTCAAGAGTCCTGGATCTCTTGCAGCCAAAGTTGCTGATCTTCCGAAGAGGAGAAAAGCAGAGAGGCTGGCCAATGAAACCCTTGGGAACCAAACAGCCACATCCTACTTCCTGGGTGAAAGCTCCTCTGCTGTTATTAAAACTAGGGTCTTGGGGAAGGAGGGTACTATTCCAACAAAAAGGTAAATGATCCTTTAGAAAGGATCTGTTCATTGGAAGGCAAGCGATTGTTCTCTTGCACAGAAGAGCAGTGCAGGCTTGTGATAGTGGGAGATCATTAGACACATAAATAGCTGAGTTTGGAATGTGAACTCGCTTGGTGAATTGTCTGCCTGGTGCAAAGTTCTGGATTGTCCTGAAGTCAGTGGTCTTGGTCCATGTTGGTACCAGTGACATGGGGAATTGTTGTTGTAAAGTCCCGAAAGCCAAATTTAGGTTCTTAAGCGGGAGCTGAAATATAGGTGGCTTTCTTAGAAAAGCAATCTGTTCCACATTCAGGTCCATCAAAGGCATGCACGGCTGGGTATTCTCGATGCATATATGAGATGGTAATCTAGGGGTGGAAGGGTTCACATCTGTTGGGCACTGGGGGGTATTTTGGAACAATCCAGGCCTGTTCTGGAAGGACAGGATCCACTTGAGCCAAAACAGAACTGGACTGCTGGTTCCTAACATTAAAATGGTGGCATAGCAGCTTTTAAACTCAGCCCTGGAAGAAAGAGGAGCTGTGAAGCACAGCACTCAGGTGAAATCATCCCTGGGGATGAAGATGGAAAAGCTTCTGATTGCTCAAATGTAGAAGAGGAGGAAAGAAGCCACAAGGATATGGTTCAAGAAGATAACCGGTCAGAGAGGCTGGAGCACCAAAACATAAGTTGTTTACCTCTTGGGAGGACACTGTGTTTAGGTGTCCCTGTACAAATGCAAGAGGCTTCAGAGTTGATAGCGGAAAGCTGGAGTGCCTGGTTTAAAAGAAGAAGCTGGATATAGCAAGTATCATGGAAACCTCAAGGAATGGAGAGACCCAATGGGAAATGGTCCTCTCTGCATAGAAACTCTAAAGGAAGGACAGAGAAAGGTGTTCTGGAGGAGCTGTCACTCTGCACATGAAAGAGGATAGTCTCGAACACCTGGGGATTCAAAACGTACAGACTTCGAAGCAGAAAAACTGCGGGTGCCAATAACTGGATCCAAAGCTTCTGTGTTATCACCTCCAGAGCCCAAATGCTCAAGGTGATCATTATATAGTGACTCGAATTGGGGAGATCCTCCAGAAACAGTGTTGTAATAATGGGCGATTTCAACCACCCCATGGCAACTGGAAAAACGGATGTTCCATTTCTGACAAACAGGTCCCATTTTCCAATGCCCTAAATGACTGTGCCCCCAAGCAGGTGGTCACGGAGCTGAGCAGAGGGGGGCGAATCTCAAAAGCTAGTAGGAAATGTGAAATGCAGCTGAAGCAATTGGAGTCAGTGATCAGAGCGCTAACAGATTTGACATACATTTGGGGGAAGGTTACCAAGCACATCAAACACAGTCACATTTGACATCCAAAGAAGAAGCTTCTCTAAAGTGAGGACACTGGTAAAAGAAAGTCCATAAGGGGAGCTAAAGGGGTTACATCCCTTGCCATAATGCTTGGAGATTACTGGAAACCACAATAAGTGAAGCTCGGTTGGTATGCAGACCACAAGTTAGGAAAGATAGCATGCCGTCCAAGAGATCAGTGGCCTGGTTGATGAGAAGCATCAGGAAATTTACTGGAGAGAAGAAAGGTACTTTCAGAGAATGGTAGCCTTTCCCAAATGAGGGGGGCAGGAAAGCACGGGGGAGACAAGCTTGCACAAGAAAGATGCAGGCAGATGGAAAATGTGCATATGGAGGTGTGTGTGTGTAAGAGAAAGGGAGGGAGGGAGGGAAGGAGAAATGTATCACTTACAACATCAAAGCAAACAATAAAGAAGTATTTAAATATTCCTTGCTGCTTCCTGTAAATGCTGTGTTGATTTGACGTAAATAATTCTTCACAGCAGAGGATATGGAACAGATACCTGTTTCTGAACTTATTTATTCGGGGAGTGAGACAGAGAAATTAAACCAGATAGCAGTGTCCAAAGATGAAATTCTCAACCCTATTGGATGTGAATAAATGGCCAGGTGCAGCTGCTATCTGCCCTAGAGTTCTTAAATTGCTCCAGTATGAAATGGCTGACTCACAAAAATACGTACAATATTCCTCAGATCAGACTCTATACCAGAGAACTGGAGAATGCCCAATGTAACACCAATTTTTTAAAGGAATTGAGAGGACTCTGGGAAATTATAGGCCAATTAGCATTTATTTTGGGTAAATTAGTTGAAAGTGTTATTAAGGATAGAATCAGTAAGCACGTATGGGGACAAACCCTGTTGAAAAAGAATCAACATGGCTTCCACAAAGGTGAGTCGATGTCATTAAAAGAGAGCCACTGTTGTGTAGTGGTTAAGAGCACTGGACTGGGACTCAGGAGATCTGGGGTTGAGTCCTCGCTCAGCCATGGAACTGAGTGACTTGGACAGCCCAACCTACCTCACAGGGTTGTTGTTGCGGGGATAAAATCGAGAGCAGAAAGACAAGAATGACATGAATCATTTTGAGTTCTTTGAAAGGGGAGATAAATAGACGGCATATTGGAATTCTTTGGGAGTGTCAGTAAACACATGGACAGGAGCAATCCAGTAGAAATTGTTTACTTGGCCTTCCAAAAGGCCTTTGACAAAATCCTTCACCAAAACCTCCTCAGCAAATGTAACGGTCAGTGAATAAGACGGGATCTCCTCTCATGGATCAGCAACTGGTTAAAGACTAAAATCAGAGAGTAGGCATAAATGGCAATTTTGCTCAATGGAAGGATATAACCAGCAGCATCCCACAGGATTCTGTACTGTACCCCATACTTTTCCATTTACCCATAAATAATCTGGAACTGGGAGTAAGCAAGGTGGCTGAAGACAACCAACTATTTGGCATGGTTAAAATGAAAAGGGATTGTGAGGAGCTACAAAGAGATATCTCCAACCTGAGAGAATGGGCATCAAAATTGGAAATACAGTTGTCTAAGCAAGTGTAAATTGATGCATGTTGGGGCAAAAAGTCCCAACCTCTTCCAGAAGAAGCTGGTGGGATCTAGCCTAGGTGTAACTTCTGAAGAAGGGGTTCTTGGGGTTGCGGTGGACAGCTGGATTGGCACTGTGAAAAAGCTAACCTCCATGCTAGGTATAATTATCAAAGAAATTGAAAATAAAACTTCCAAAATCACACTACCTTCAATAACCTTTTGTGTGACTGTACTTAGAATATTGTGAACAGTCCAGGTCACTGCACCTGAGAAAGAGCATCATGGAGTTAGACACATTCAGAGAAGAACAATTGACATGATCAAGGGACTGGAACAACTGCCTCTGAGGGATAGTTAAGCAGCTGCAATTGTTAAGGTTGGGAGAAGGGCGACAGAGGTGTACAAAATTACACATGACATGGGCAATGTGGAAAGGGAGGCACTTTTCTCCCTTTCCCATAATACTGAACCCTGAAAGGACTTCTTCATTCAGCACATAGTTAAATTACTGCCACAAGAAGCCATGCGGGTTGCTTCTAACATCAGGTAAGTAGGTGCAAAGGAATATAGGAGAACATGCCATGGCTGGACCAGCCTGTTGGACGAACTGCCCTGGCCAGCATCATCAGCGTCATGACTACAGGTACAGGAATCCCATATTCCTTTGTGGCTGGCAATCCTACTGATAGCTTCAAAGGAACAATTTCCCAACTGCATCTAAATCAGGCTGCTAACTAAGTGATCAAGATACCAACCAATTATTCTGCTGTTGGACACAAAATCAACTAGCCATTAAAGCTGAAGGTAATTATTAGATAAGCACAGCCAGATGTGAAATTCAGATACTGAAAGCACTTAACAATCCAAAGATAGCTTATCAATGAAGTAGGCAGAGCTAGCTCAGGGTGAAATTGACTAGATTCATGGAGCTCTGTGCATGCTACCCTGTTTTTATAAGGAACTGTGGCAGCATCAGCTGAACCTATTTCAATCACATACAATTTATCAACTTCCCTGAGAGGTTCATCATTACAAAACAAATTCACAATCCATTCACTTACTTTGTAATCTCCAGCACTCTGTGAAGGCCTGAACAGTGATCCTCGTCCTCTGGGCACCTATTCCTCCTTTTATAGGCTATGAGTTAAGTAACTCAGGTTCTAGTTTCTCAATCATATGACCTTACAGGAAACTTATAGCTCTTAAGAACTGAGGGTCGCTTTTAATCTTGTGTAGCTAATAGGAAGTGTGAAGCGTGAACAGAAAGCATTTCCCTTTGGTTGCAAAATGTGGGGAAGATAACATCCTTATTTCAGGGAACAAGGGGTGAGGTGTCAGAAAAGCAGAGCAGTTTTGAAATGCTAGGGTATTTAACAGTGTTGGAACATGCATACCTTGCCAGGTTTTGCTTGGACAAACTGACGGAGCAACCCAACCCAGGGGCACTGACTCTTGCTGATAATAAGACTTGAGGCTTGGGGTCCTCCAGGGCACGTCCAGCAGCTTGCTGGGTCCAAAGAAAGGCTGAGTAAATGGATCAGTTGTGGGGAATGATTTCTCATCCTCCCTGAGCCTGTGAACTGATGCCACTGTTCAAAGCAAAACCAAGGGTTATGAAAACATGGAACCAGTTGACAGATGCATGTTTAACAGTTGCACCATCCCAAAAACACACTGGAAAAGCTTTCCTGAGTCTGTTCTGCATCCTGTTTCCCACAGTAGCCAACCACATGGCTCAGGGAAGTAGGATATAAAGACTACAGCCTGTATGAATGGACCATCCATATGGAAGGGTCACATTTGTTTATTTATTAGATTTATAACCCACTTTTCCCAGTAAGTTCAGAGTGGCTTACATCATTCTCTTCCTGCTGCTCTCAAGCACAATAATAGGTAGGTTGGGCTGAGATCCTGTGGCTGGCGCAAAGTCACCCAGTTGGCTCCATGGCTGAGCAGGAACAAGAACCCAGATCGCCTGAGTCCCAGTCCTGTGCCCTTAACCACTATTTTTATTTATTTATTTATTAATAATTTTTATCCTGTTTGATACAGGTCATCTCTGGACAGTTTACAATATAATAAATACCTAATAAATACATCAGTACATCAATCAATAACAATAACAAGATAAAACACAACTAAGGATATCAGTAAAAACATAATTAAAATATTTAAACTTTACAATACTGGGTAAATAAAAAGGTCTTGACTTGGCCCTGAAAAGCATAGAGCATCAGCACCAGGCACCATTCTGGGGAGTGCATTCCAGAGCCAGGGCGCCACCACAGAGAAGGCCCTCCTCCGAGTGTTCTCTCTTCTGTCCTCCTTCAAGGAGGGTTCCCGGAGCATGGCCTCTCCTGCAGATCTTAAGGGCATATAGGGAAAAAGACTTTCCTTCAGGTATCTTGGTCCCAAGCCATTCAGGGCTTTATAGGTCAATACCAGCACCTTAAACTACACCACACTGGCTCTCTACACACTGATCTCATGCTCTTCAGTAAAGTCAGCCCATCCGATAACCTCTCCATTGTCATCTGTTATGAACAGGGTTGCTCCCCCCCCCCCCCCGTATCATAGCAGAGATAATGTGGGTGGGGAGGAAGACACCATTCCAAGGAGACGAGAGATTCTCAACAGCTTCACCCAAGGAAGCCTCACCACAAGTGTGGTTTGTAACTCAGCTTCTTTCACTTTTTGTAAAGGTGTTGAGGCTTCTGGGCTGCTACTTTTGGTGGCAAAGACTTCTACTGTGTTGGCAGGCTGGTTCCATTTAAATCCACCACAATGCGGGTGTGAAGGTGTGTGTGTGTGTGAGAGTGAGAATGAGTGCAGTGCCCATCTTCAGGAAAGAGGCAGAACCTCTGATTTCCTGAAAGTTTTCTTTCCCCATAAGTGAGACTTCTGTTGTCCTATCTCATTTTCAGGGTGTTTCTTATTTTGTTTTAAATTTACTTTTGCAAAGCCATGGAGAGATGCATAATCAAAGCAAAATGCACCAACTCACCCACCTTGCAATGATTTAGTAGTGTGAGCATTTTGCTTCTATTACAGATCTCTCCGTGGCATTGCAGCCTCCTGGACTGCCTGCAATTTCTGTTCTGAAAAAGACCAGTTGGAGGAATTTATTCATGAAATCTTCCCCAGCAGCTTAACTGAAACATGGAAGTAAAAGAAGAAACAGGCTGCCAGAGAGATGGTTTCACAGTGAAAAATAGGACACTGAAGTATACTCTTTTGTCACCTCGCAAGTAAGATAAGCACAAGGAACTTCAATTCAACCCAGGAGAATTTCCCCAAAATATTCTTCACAACAGAATTGCTTTTAAGGAGCAATTTCTCTTCTCGCAGACTTATTGGTAATGGTTAGAAAAAAAGTTGGAGAAGGTTTGGGTACAATATACTTGTAAACAACACAGACAGCTTTGGCTATGGGGTGGTATAGAAACGAAGTGAATAAATAGAGAGTATATAATAATGAAACATGGGGCTTTTAGACAGCATGTATGGTTATCTTTGGATGATGCTGTGATCTCGCATTTTCTCTTCTGCTTTTTCAGAGCCCTATGATTGATTGATTGATTGAATAGAGGAAATGAGATATTAAATTACAATGGGGAAAATGGTGTACTTTCTCCTGGTATATTTGTGCCATTCTGCAGAAAACAGAGGAAAAGGAGAGGTTTTTGATTGGAGCTCAAAACTCAATGCTGCAAAGAAATGGAAAGTCAATACAGAAAAAGGAAATGGCCTTTTTCTGACCCACTCAGTTAGAAGAGAGTTCTTCTCACCAGACCTGTTGTCCTCCAGTGGAGGCAGAGTTCCCAGAGGGCTTCTGACCAGAGATGGTAGAGAGTGACTGACGAGGGACTTCCTACGTGTGCAGCTGTTCCTGAGCTATGGCTTTCTCCACCATGGTGAACATGAAAGTGTGAACCAGCTCCCTGTATATGGTGTTTGATCCATGATGGCTCATTCGCACATGCAAATCACCACTTGATCTAACAAGGGATTGCCATGCACATTGGAACCACCCATGATGTCCTGATTTTTCAGCCTGTATCTCTCTCTCTTTGATCAAAAAAATGTAATTGCCTGGCTTGGTTTCTGAGAAATGGGATTAAAGCCAAATTGGTGCTTCAGACCAGTTACTTAGACGTAGGCCCTGCAGAACCCAGTGGGGTTTGCTTCTGAGGAGATATGAACAACACCTCACCATCTGTATTATGAGAAAGGATTGCTTCAGGGAAAGTGTTGGACATTTGGGGGAGTCCCACTTTTCTGTAGCAAATAACATGAAACCTTCCTGAATATTTTGCAAACTTTTCTTCTCACATCGACTGGAGAACACTTTTGCAAGATCTGGGCTTGCTTACAACTCCCCTTTATTAAACAATAGCATGGCTGCCTTACATAACTGTTGTGTAACATTATGTACTTTTGGAAGTGTTTAAGGAACTCCAAATATTTCCTAACCACTTATGTATAATCCTGTCAGTGTCCGTTTAAGTCTCTCTCTCTCTCTCTCTCTCTCATTCTCTCTCTCTCTCTCTCTCTGTCTCACACACACACAGAGAGAGAGAGAGAGAGAGAGAGCGAGCGAGCGAGCGAGCGAGCAAGCTAACAATGGTATCCTATCAAGCCTCAAACATGGAAGCTCTGAGCTGTGAGTCATGTGCTGTAGCAATATTTGATTTGCCAAATCATGTGCATTGCTTGCAAAATGCATAGCTTGGGATTCTCAATAAGCAACATATACTTGGATGCAAAGTGTCTGAATCATTTCAATGTATTTCTGCTTCTCCTTGTTGGGAATTTAACAGAAAGTCCAAATTCCCAACACAAAAAGGCTGGTGCTAAGAAGTTAAGAAAAGCCATGCTTGTTCAGCCCGAAGGTTCATCTAGTCCATACACATGGTGGGAAAACAGCTGTACACTCAAGCAGGATGGATGCAGGACCTCCACCTACCCAGACAACTCAGCAACCTGTGCATGCAGCATGCCAACCTGTGCATGCAGCATGAACAAGGCAGCACATAGACAGCAAAGTTAGTAACCATGAATAGCTGCCCCCTCTGTGAATCTGTCCAATCCTTTTTGGAAGCCACCCAGATTAGTGGTAATCACCACTTCCCCTGGAAACAAATCCCACATACTTCCTTTTAGCTCTCTTTTTTCTTCCCCCCTTTCAAGTGATTGAGGTATTACTGATTCACACAGGGATGCATGGGTAGCTGGGCTAGTTAGTGTGTGTGTGTGTGTGTGTGTGTGTGTGTGTGTGTGTGCACGCGCGCGCGCTAGCATATGTTTTGTTTCCTCTGAAGGCTGGACAGTTCAATCACTGACCAGAGAAAAGTTAAGCTGTGTTTGAATGGAGCCAGCTTCCAAAAGGGACTAATGCCTTTACATCCTTGAAGGCATTCACACAACTATTAAACTTACAAGTAATCCAGGAAATGGCTGAACTGCCGGTATCTTATAACTCTTATTAACAATGGCCTGTTGTGATAATATTATAATTTCTGCATCCATCTGTTTTTCTTGTTGACATTTTGAACAAGTGCGAAGACAGCAGCTCAAAGCCTTCTGAGGTTGCAGATAAAGGGATCATTTCTGCAAATAAATCCATGTGGGCTAAGCCATGGAGAGATTGTGGTATTGGGACGAACTTTCCACCCTTCCTGATCTGGTTGCAAAATTAGGGAGAAATTACCGATATGATATGATGGAAAGTGACAAATGGGGTGTACATCTGAAAAGTGGGTGGACAGCAAATGTAAGAGAATAAAGGGACAACTGGTATAATTACATGCTTTTGTGCCTTCATGGTTTATCTCAATCTTTCCCTGACATTTTGCTGCCAGATTAACAGGTTTCTCCATTTCAAAACAACTGCTACACTGTTAGAGCGATGCTTGATAGTTGTTTAAATATTCTAAATGTCCTGTTCTCCCACCGATATTAATAGCATTGCTTGTAGTGTGGGGAAGAGCCCTTTCCGGACAGGTACCAGCATCTGGCACCCTCGGGCAGGTGCAAGGACCCCAGCACTGCTGTTGGGCTTGTTAGCACTGATGTTTAACTCCCCTCCCCCATGTGTTGGGGATATGT